AGATATATCAGCACCACTCTTCAAAAGCGTTTTTGAAGTTTTTGATATTGTAATCAAAATTTTTTTTGGAAAAAGTTTGCCAAAAATTGGTTGGTTAGTATTCTTAACGAACGATTTCTGAAATTGACATTTGACTATGCTTGATGGGGTATTCGAGCTATAATCGAACGAGGGTTTGTGGCAGAAATGACATTTTTGACCGAAAAGCTACTAGTGTATCTCTCACAGCAAAAGGTACCCACTTCCAGGGGAAAAAAGCCAAAGCAGACTAGAGCAGGTGCGGATTTGAATGATTTAGTCAAAAGTTTAAATCCTGAAATGCTTCTGGTAAACAATTTCTACAATTGCTTCCCTTCCTGGTCAGGGCGGTGATGGGAGCTACTAAGGTGGAATAACCTTAGTAGACTAAATAATAATAAAGTCTAAGGATGTTTTACTCACCCCTTCAATACATTAATAGCATCGCCACACACCCTCCTGCCCCAAAACGCAGGGAGGATTGGCCTATGCGATCCAATGCGCTCCAGCCACTCACTATGTCTGAACGCACTGGATATATTGTAAGCAAGCCCTTAGTGCATGCCCTTAGTGAAAAAAAACCTTTTTGCCAGGCAATGCCCCACAGATTATTTAAAGGACTATTGGGAGGAGTAAAATGTAGTCTTCCCAACAGTTTGAACTGCAACTGTCACACACAGTGTCTACAGCTCAAGAACTGAGTGATCACAAAGCGCTCATTTCATTGCTTCCCCTGCAGAGAGCAGGGACCATCAGTCACCGCTCCCTGCAGGGATTCCCATCTCTATTCCTCCAGGGCTTATTGGCGGAACAGACATGGAAGGCGGCAGGCACAGCCAGCTGTCAATAAGGCAGCAGGGTAGATCCCGACAGTATTGGGGATCTTTACCGGCTGCAGCACAACTCTGTGCTGTCAGTATATACCGCAGCAAGCCTCCAACAACTGAAGTGTAGGGCGGTGGGGAGGCTGCAGGTCCTGGTTTTGGAGCCTGGATCAGGTAAGCCCTTTTCCCTGGTACCCATACATAAACGTATAGCCTGGCATTAACGCATAGCTGACCCTATTTTGTAGTGTGGGGGCAGACCCACTGCAAAGGGAGTTTTATTATTTCCCTGGAGATATCAGAGACTCAGCATGCACAATATAATAGCATTTAGCCACTTTTTATTTCTAGGCACTGAGCGGCAGCTCAACCATAACCACTGAATTCAGTGAAATACAGAGTGGAACATATGCCAGTAAAGATAGAGCTTTCTTACTTTAGTGTACAAATCCATGCATCATATCAAGATGTGCAGTTTTCCCAAGAACCTATTTGTAATCACACGTTTCAGCAACCCACGAGCAGGCCGTTTATACAGACACTTTCAGCATCAGTCCACGTAATGATTTCTACTTTGTTGCAATAATAATAACAACAACACACAATGATTCTCTCTACGTTGTAGTCAAGAGAAAAGCTTATGGGACTCCGCTACATAAACAGCACAAGGCCCCTCACATCCATTCTTCCTTTCATACATCCCGCTCCTTTCCTCCGACATGTCGTTCTGCTTACCGAGTAATTCCAAATTCATTGCTCCGGTCCTGGCTCACTCAGCACTATCTTTCAGCCGTGCCCCTTAACTGGGCCGGCAGGGAAAACAAAACAAAATAAGGCGATTATGAGCGGACCCCAAACGAAAGCTTAGAGAAATCCGGCAACAACGAGGGCAGCAAAGTATTTTAAGACAGGCACCTCAAAGGGCAGCCCCGGTGATGTGTCGAAAGTGCGAACTTATCGAGTTGTGGGACCGCATTACTTCCGGTTTCCTCAGAACTACGAGGTTTTTACACAAAACATGTTGTGCACGAGCGCCATCCACGGCATTGCCCTATAGACATAGACCACAGCAATAAAGTAATAAAATGATGTAGGATGACAGTAAGCCAGCACGTTCTTTATCTCCGGTGCCCCACTCAATATGGCCGCCGCTTGAGTGGGGCACCTGAGATAAAGAACGCGCTGGCTTACTGTCATCCTACATCATTTTATTACTTTATTGCTGTGGTCTATGTCTATAGGGCAATGCCGTGGATGGCGCTCGTGCACAACATGTTTTGTGTAAAAACCTCGTAGTTCTGAGGAAACCGGAAGTTATGCGGTCCCACAACTCGATAAGTTCGTAGTTTTGATCGATCACCGGCCTTCGCCGTTGTGCGCAAGTGAAATATTGTCCGGGCGGTAGTGGATACTAACTGATATGGTTCCGGAAACACTTTTGGTTACTATAAAAAAAAACGCTGATTTAAAAAAAAAAACCCCTGCTTTTTAAGTAGTCATGATTGCTGTAGAAAAAGTACAAAGCCTAGTGACCCCCCACAATCATATCTTCTGTTGGTCCTTCTTTCTAGGCATTTGGATCTATGTGCACTTAGTGAAATCCAGTTTTTTGTTTTACTAAAAGTGATGGTAAACTCAGGAGTCAAATCCTAAAAATACATTCAAGTACTTTAACTATTAACAAAAATGTACCTTATTTGTGTATCACTCAGCTGTAGATCCTCAAATCATCTCTGGATATTATGCCACTGCATGTGTCCCTCTGTACTAAAGCTGGCCATACGCTACTACAAGCTGGGCCCGGCGAACAGGGGCGGGATGCGGCGGGGTCTCTCGTTCTGTATTACCGCGCTGTGCACAGTGTGCAGTCAGACTCTCTCGGTGTGCGGGCGGGGTAGAAGTCTCACATTCCTGTCACTCCTCACTCAGGCTCCTCGCACAGTCTCAGACTCACTGCTGGGGGTTGAAAGGCCATGACTGTGTCAGTCGGGCAGACTCAGAGATCGGGGTCCTGGGAATAGCAGGCCAGGTGGTCAGTATTGGATGTTGAGGACGGGGTCCATGTTGGGGTGGTGAGGGACGGTTGCTCAGTGTCGGGTGTTGGGATCCTTTTGAGGTCCATGGCAGGTCAGTATCAGGTGTTGGGGTCTCATGTGGGTCAGTGAAGGTGTAGGGGCCCAGTCCCAGTTGGACTGGCCGCTTGTAGTTCACAATTAATACAATCCCATTATGGAACGTAGATGAACTTAAAACTTTTACGTTCCACTCATTTAGTGGAACTTAAAAGTTTTAAGTTCATCTACGTTCTATAATGGCATTGTATTAATTGTGAACTACCGTGTTTCCCCGAAAATAAGACACTGTCTTATATTTTTTTTGGCTCAAAAAAACACACTAGGTTTTATTTTCGGGGCAGGTCTTATTTTTTTGTTTATTTTTTTAATGTACAACAATCCACACTTATTCATGTAGAAAAGTCTACATGTATTCATGTACAACAAAATGATGATCAGGGCAATTAGGGGTGCCGTGCCTTTCCAAGAGCAATGTGATAACCAATTGCTGGCCAGAATGTGCGAAGAGCACTTTCACTATTGATTCCTCACAGGCGGAGTGCATTTGGTATCACTCCGCCTGTGACAGGAGCCGGCGCTATATAAAAGGCATCGGCTTATGCGGCTTTGCTCCTTCCGTTGCCGCCTCGCTTCCTCTAGCGCTGGCTTGGTTGGCACCGCTGATTCTCTCCCGCGCCTCTTCAAGTTCCCCCTTATGCCACCACCGGCCCTGGGAATGGTCACAACTAGGTCTTATTTTCGGGGTAGGTCTTATATTCTAGCAAGTCCCAAAAATAGTACTAGGTCTTATTTTCAGGGTAGGTCTTATTTTCGGGGAAACAGGGTGCAAGCGGCCAGTCCAACTAGGACTTGTAGTTCCCTGTAACCGATATGAGGCTGTATTAAAGATTAAATGTTCTATTCTTAGTTCTATAATGGCATTGTAGTACTTTCAGGTGGACAGTAATTAATACAGCTCCATAACATAACATATCAGCTAGGGCAGGCCTCAAAATGTCCACTCGCCCCCTCGCAATTGGCGAGTGAAAATTGTTTGGGGGCGAGTGGAATCTCATTGAGGAGCGCCGGCGGCGGGACCAGAGATGGGACACTACCGCTTCGGCGATTGCTCACTTCTGTTCTCTCTTCTCATCAGCCGCTGCAGCTACAGAGCGGCCGAGAAGGAGAAGAGAGAACAGAAGTGAACGATCGCAGTGGCGGCAGTGCCCCATACCTGGTCCCGCCGGCGGCGCTCCTCGATGACATCCGCTGTCTTCTGCAGCTTCCTCCGCCCGCCTCAGCTGCCAGGCAGGGAGGAAGATTGCAGGGAGGAAGATTGCAGATTGCGGTGTGCGTCACACTGACCCTGCGCTGTGCGTCACACTGACCCATGCGCTGTGCGTCACACTGACCTCTGCGCTGTGCGTCACTCTGACCTCTGCGCTGTGCATCACTCTGACCTCTGCGCTGTACAAGGCTATGTATTTTGGATTTTTTAAAATATAATACTGTATTATGGCCACTAGACAGTGGCGAGGAGCATAGAAAATAATTGTTTATTTTATTATATTTAAGTCCCCTGACCCGGCAAACGCGCTCATACTAACGGAAACACAAGTCAGGTGCACTTGCGTATGAAAATTACGATTGTGCAACACGTCAGGTATCGCTGCGTGCGCCAGAGTGAGAGCAATAATTCTCCGGCCAATATTCATGGCTGGGCTTATATATTTTATACATATATATCATTGTATATAATTGTATTTTTTGTCAAATTTCGGTGTATTATTTTAATAAAAAGTTTGGTTATTTTATTATATTGGCTTTGATTTTTTCAATTCAAATTATTTTGAATCCATGAATCTAAATAAAATGTCCAATATATTACAAACAGTTATTAAAAAAAAAGAAAAAAAAAAGTGGGAAGTCATGTTTGGTTTCGGCCTGACAAATTCTGCTGCAAGATGTGCGTTGCAGTGCCATTGATTTCAGTGTGATTGCCTACACTGAAATGTGCGGTGCGATTGCAAAAAATGTGCACACAGTTTTTTCTGAAGTAAACTTTGTTTGTAACACTGCATTTGTGTATTGTATTGTAAATAAAATATGATATTTTTTTAATCCGATTAATAAAAAAAAATCTACTAACTAATCGACTATGAAAATAATCGTTAGTTGCAGCCCTAGTTGCATTATATTTAGGGAATTGTGCTATCTCTGCCACATGGAAATTTTTAGCTAAACAGGGGACAACCAAACTTCTCATTTTTCTGCCCCTGATAATGGTTTGAGTAGGTAACTGGGTTTCTGTTGGTCCCAAATAAAATGAAAGACTTGCCTTTGCAAGATATGGAGCATATGGAAGGGAAATTCACCACTAATACACTGAATAAATATAACAATTTCTAGAAGGCGGACATTTTGATAGCAGCTATTTTGCCCAACCAGGACAGATTGTATGTGTTCCAAGTTTGTAAGAGTTTTTGTAGGACGTTGGATAATTTGCAGCATAGAGTGTGGAACAAGAATTGGTGAGGGACATAACCAAGTAGTAAAGTTCAAAGGTTCCTAATGATATGTAAAAGAGTTCTGAAGTTAGAGACTGTAGCTAGTGGTAGAGATACATTCAGAGCTTTTCATTTTGCACCATTGACGTGTAATACAGAGATGTCAGCAAAATCCATGAGTGTGGTGCAAAGGTTTGGTAGGGAAACTAGGGGGTTAGTGACAAACATGGTGACATCTCCTGCAAATAGGTTTAGTTTGTGGTGGTAGCTGGCAAAATGAATGCCTGTCATTTTTTTCTGATAAGTTGTGGCAATGGCTCTATAGCCAGGACAAATAGAAGGGGGACAGTGAGCATCCCTATCTTGCTGCCCTTGATATTCAGAAGTAATCGGATTTAAATCTGGCATATTTGATGTATGAGAGATGGAGTTTTAAGATGATATTCAGGTGAGGAAATGCAAGCCAATTTGTCCCATTTGCTTGGAATATGGAATATGCTTGAATAGAGTCAAATGCCTTGATTATGTCTATAGAAAGATGCATAAGGGGGATGTGGATAAGGGGGCCTATTCCCGAGATAAGTCTGATTACCAAGCCTGTTGCCAATATTTTACTATCTACATTAAGATATTGCTCTGCAATACGACCAACCGATGTCGTCCTTTTTGAATTTGGGTATAATGCTTATGCAGGCTTCCAAGAATTCCTGACAGAATTGATGTTGTTTCAACAAGCTGTTGAAGGTATCGATCAATATGTGGATAAAAAGGTCTGATAATTTAAGGCTGTGAAGCCATCCAGGCTGGGACATTAATTTAACTTAAAGGAGAACTATGAGGTGAGTGATTTCCACTCATCCTCGTAGTTAGAGCTGACCTGTGACAAAGAAGCTGTTATAGGTCGGCTCTATCGATCGGGAAGTGAGCAGAAACATGCACCGATCCGCTCACTTCCCGATCATCTCCCTGCAGTGAGCGGTGACTGTCAGTCACCGCTCCCCGCAGGGATTCCCCCCTCCACTCTCCGATCCTCCAGCGTTGAGTGGAGAAGCGAACGGGGGAAGTGGCGGGCACAGCTGGCTCTGCCTCTAGTTAGGCAGAGCCAGCTGTCACTCACACAGCTGGGTGAATCTCGACAGTATTATTGGGATCCGTCCCAGCTGCGGTGCTCTCAGTATATTACGGGCAATAGCCCGCAATATACCGAGCTTAGGGTCACAGGAGAAGGTCCTCTAAAGGTGACCCTAAAGAGAACTATGGGGAAAAACACTTACCCCATAGTTCTCTTTAAAGTCTTTAATTGCAGTGGTCATCGATGTAGGTTTTGGAAAGTTGATGTTGCAATACATGAGCAATCTTG